CTCGGGGCCCGCCCGCCAGCCCCGGCCCCTTCGCCACCCGCTCGCCGCTCTTCATCTTCGTGCGGAGGTCGCCGCTGCTGCCGCGCTCCTCCAGCGGCTACTTCTCGTTCGACGCCGAGCGCAGCCCCGCGCCCCTGGGCTGCGACAAGGCCACGCAGACCCCCAGCCCGCCCTGCCAGGCGCTCAGCCACTGCCTCAGCGCCATGGGTAAGCGCTGGGGCGCGGCTCCCCGTCCTCCTCCTCCTCCTCCTCCTCCTCCCCGCCGGGCTCGGCTGCCCTCGCCTCCCCCTCCTCACCTGGCGTTGCTTTCCTCAGTTTCCTCAGTGCAGTTCCCGCGGGGGTGTGTGAAGGTGGGACAGCGAAGTGCCGGGGGAGATGCGCACAGGGTGAATACACAGGGGGAGCGAGGGGGTGGGTTGAAAGTGCAGGAGCGGTTTCCCCACCCTTCACCCGGCTTGGCTTTCCCCACCTTCCCCTCCTCACCTGGCTCGGCTTTCCTTAGAGCCGTGCAAAACTCTCGGGGGTTTGTGAAGCGCCGGGGTTTAGCTCCAGGTGTGCACAGCTGTGAGCGCAGCGGTGCCAGGGGCTCGCCGGTGCATGAGGGGGTCCTGCTCTGTGCCTCGGCTTCCCCGGGAATGATGGAGAACTCAGCCTCGCCAGGCACCTGCAGCAGCACCTGGCGCATCCCACCCACCCCGTGGATTTTTGGGAGCAGCCGAGCCGCGGGCTGGAGGCTCTCCCGGCGCTCTGGGATTTGTGGAAGCTGGCCGAGCAAACACAGCGCCGGGGAACTCCCGCGCGTCCAGCGCCGGGGTTTTTATTACTATGATGTTTATTCTTTTCCTGGCTCGGTCAGTCGCTGCCAGGGGAGGAGGGGACAGAGTTGTTGAGTCCGGCTTCCTACTCAGGGCTCGCTCGTCCGAGGCTGTTTTGCCAAGCGAGTGGCTCCTGGCTGCTGGTGCGGCGCTGCCGGTTCTCTCACGGCTCGGTGTTCGGGGTGCTTGCTGGGCTCATGCATCCCCAAATCCCGGTGCATCCCAAAAAATCCCAAAAAGCGGCCTGGAGGTGGACGGGCGCGTGTTTATGAGTGCCTTTGCCAGGTGAAGCCTCTCCAGCAGGGGAAAAAGCTGCCCCTGGGAGCTGCCTGCGTGTCCAGCGTTCCCCTGTCCTGATGAATTCCCTCTCATCGGAGGAAACCTTTTGAACTTCCACCCTTTAGCGTCCGGCAGGGCACGGTGGGAGCGAGGTGTGGGGATAACAAAACAACAGCTCCAAGCTTTCTGGGATCTAACCACCGTCTGTTTTGGTGGCTGGTGTTTTTGCTCCCTCCTGGCCCCGGCTGTGGCTCTGGCTGCGGAGGCCTGGCTGTAACGTGCCCTTAGGAAAGATTTTGTGACATTATTGCTGTAATTACAGCTTAATTGAAGTTTCACAACCTCACCCTGGCACGGCCAGGCAGGGATGCTCCCGGAATTCCTCGCCGGGAGAGCCAAGGCTTCAGTTTCTTTTATCTGGGAAGAAATTGAAGTTTTCCCTGATTTTTTTTTCCCCCCAAATTCCTGTGCTCTCATCAGCTGTTTTATTGGAGCCTTTGCTCTGTTGGTGTTGCTAGGGGCATCATCCTAAACAGCTATAAGCAAATGGAAAATCCTCGGCACTGTTTGACCGGGACTCCTGGATGCTCCTGAACGGATTAAGCTGGGAACATGGAGCTGTGGGGCTGTTTTATCCTCATCCAGGCCTGCAGCTCATCCATCCCATACAGCTCTCCTTGGGAAATATCTGTGCCTTTGCCCTGCACACCTCGATCCCTGTGCCTTGGCGGTGTCCAGCTGGATGCGTGCCAGGAAGTTTTGCACGTGGAAGTGGGTGAATCCCTTGGGAAGGAAGCGAAGGGGATATTTTTGTTGTGCTTTTACCCACTGCTTTTATCTGTTGTGGGCAGAGGCTGCGAGGTGGAGAGTTTCTCTCGGAAGCATAAGCAATAATAATAATAATTATTATTATTTTTATTAAAATAAACAAGCATTTCCTGCGAGCAGGAGCAACGGATGCTCCCGGCCTTTCCCATGGGGAGCTGCTCCAAGGCTGCTCCAGCAGGCAAACTCATGTTCTGCCTCAAAAGTCCCTCTCTAAATCTCCCAAAACCTTCCCCAGAGGTTTTGATGAGGGCAGATAAAGGTGGAGGCAGCCCTCGGGAATGCCTTGGGCTGTGTAAGGAAGAGCTGTTGGTGTGGAAGTTTGGGAAGCGATGCTTTGGGCTGTGCCGCCTTTCTGACAGCTCAGGGGACACATCCAGCTGCCTCCAAAGCTGGTTTTTGTTTTGGGAAATGAGACAAAAGCAGCGAGGGGATGCTCTGGGGTGGAAGGGAACAAGGATTACAGTGGCTGGCATATCCAGGAAAATGCTTCTGGGGATGGGAGGGAGAGGAGCAAGGGTGACTCGATTTGATAGTGCCAGAGGAAGAGGCTTGGTCCTGCTTTTGGGGAAGAGGTTGGAAGGGATGGGGAATTCCCAGCTGGGAGTGTTGAGTCACCCAAGACAAACTCACCCGTTGTGGAGGGCTTGGGTGACTCTGTGCGTGGTATTTCCATGGGAAGAGGTTCCTTTCCTGCCGTCAGATCTTCGGTCTGAACGCACGGTGTTTGTTTGTGTGAGGATTTTGGGAATGTGGCTGGAGCAGGTGCTCTGGAACTGGGTTTTCCCAGTGCTGGTTTGATCCCAGTGCTGGTTTGGTGTGTACTCCCACGAGGAGAGCAGCAGTATAAACCTCCTGTTTCTCTCAGAGGAGATCCTCCATGTGAAAATAGTTGGATTTAAGGGGAAGACCTCGAGCTGGCAGTCTGGTGGTGACATCCTGACGCTCTTGTTTTGGAATCACTGCTGTTTCCTCCCGGCTCTCCCAAGATTTCCTTCAGGCAGAGGGGTCGGATACCTAACCCGGGAGCTGAAGCTGCAGTTTGGGGTTGGTTTTCTTCCCCCTTCCGAGCCGGAACTGCAGCAATTCCATGCCGGAGCATCCCGGGGGCCGGAGCATCCCGGGGGCCGGAGCCAGCCGCGGTATCCCGGTGTCCCCGGGCTGTCCCCGTGCCCGGGTGTCACCTTCGCGCTATGACTGTGTCCCCCCGCCCCCGAAAGCGCCCGTGACAGCTTTGGGGACCAGATATGACTGGCCCCTTTCGCCGCCGCCGCTCGGCAGCGCCGCAGAAAGTCCTTTCTGAAAACCTCAGCCCGATTTCGCTCTCAGCCACCGAGCCCAGCCCGAGCCCATCGCTGCCGGGCCGGGAGGGAGGATGGCGAAGGATGGAGCGGTTCCTGCCGTGCTTTTCCTCACGTCCCCGCCGCTCCTCGCCTCTTCCTGCCCTGCTCGCCGCGTGTTTTTGTTTCCCCGGCTGGGCCGGCCCTGCTGACGGCGGCGGTGAGGTTTGGGAAGGTTCCGCCCCGGCCGGATCCCGTTTGGCTCCTCGGAGGGAGGGAGGGAGGGAGGGAGGATCGAGCCTGCTTCATTCACCGGCGGCAGGAGAAGCGCTCGGGGCAGGCGCTGCTCCTCCACTACTACAGCGTGAAAACAAAACACATCCTCCGGCCAAGCAGCGCTGCCTTGGCTCGGAAATGCATTTTCCAGTCAGGTTGGAGCCAGGCTTTTATTTAATTTCTTTTTTTTTTTTTTATTTTTTTAACTGCCCTACTAATCCTTTGAATATTTGGAAGATTGGAAGCTATTCCTGTTCCCTTGTGATTCCTCCAAAACTGGCGTGCCAAAACACTGCTTTGTTTTGTGCAGTAATTTTAATTTTTTTTTTTTTTAGTTGTGTGGGGTTGTTTTATTTTTATTTTTTTAGCTTGTTGTTTTGTTTTTGTTTTTTAATATTCCTTAAGGCTGCAGTTCCTGCTCGGATCCTGAGCTTTAAGGAAGGAGGATGAGACAGTGCTGGTACCAAACATGGTCCTTGTCTCCTTTCTGTTTCCTGGCTATTTGGAGGATTTATCACATGTTTAATAACTTTTTAAGACGGAGATCTAAACAATTGCAGTATAACAAATGCATTAACTCTTCCTTTCCTCTTTCAAGCCAGCACTTGGATTTGCTGGAAATGTGGTTTCTCCACATACAAATCCAACTGTGGCTTTCTCCTCCCTATGCCAAAGCCATTGGTTTTCCTTGTTGGGCACTTGAGGATGATTTGGGGAAGAAACGTGAGGATTGGATGAAAATATCCAGGCAGAGGGTTTTTAAGGTTAGGGAAGGAGTTGCTGCTGAAGCAAAAAAAGGGGCAAGAGGAGGTTTGGTGAAGGAAAAAAAAATTGGAGCGTGGCATCTTGGCTTCTATCCCTGCTTAAGAGGGAGCAAAGCTTGGAGATGCTCCCAGGGAAAGCCTACAATAAATAAATAAAAGCCTAATAGTAGTAATGATAGTACAGAAATAACAAGGAGTAAAAGCCGGTTGTTCATTGTATGCACCGAGTCCCCACATGCATAATTTAAGATTGAAGAGAGTCAAAACATAATAGGAATAAAAAATAGGAATAAGATGGCAGGAGTTGATGGGTTTCTACAGAGTTTTATGTAGTAAATTCTATAGAATTTGTTCTTGCTCCTGGGTTTCCAACTCTGCCGTTCCATCCCTTGCAGCTTCCCGGTGGCAATCCCAGTCTGCAGCCGAAGAGGTGCAGCCGGAGATCTGGATCGCGCAGGAGCTGCGGCGCATCGGGGACGAGTTCAACGCCTCTTATTGTCCACGCAGGGTAACTTTCCCCTCTTGGCTTTCCGTTTCTCTCAGAGGGAAAGGCTGAATCATTTCTGGAAACTCTCTCTGCGGTGAGCATTTCGTTCACTCAGACGGAGAAAAGGCTGCGCGGGTGGGGGCTGGCCTGGACCAGGCAAATCAGCGGTGGCAGCAGCCTCAAATCAATGACAAATAACCTTTAAATCAATTAAAAATAACCTTGAGATTGGGGCTGGAAGCTGGAGGGCACCAGGTTTGCACAAGGGTTTTGGGACAGAGGTGTTGGGTTGGGCCTGGACCTGAGGGTGAAAGTTTTAAAAAGGAAGAGGCAGGGAAAGCGTGGGGGTTTTGGGGGATGCACTGCCCAGTGCTGTCGCTTTTAGGGAATCATTCAGTGGGATTCCCAGCCCAGCTCCCAAAAATCAACTGCTGCAAAGTACAGACTCGGTCCCAGAAGTTAATTCTCTTGCAAAGACTGTTTTGAAAGAGTTTTTATAAGCCCACGAACTTGCTCACCTTGGGGTGTTGCAACCCAAATCGATGCAGTAATGCTGCAGAAAAGCCCAATCCCAAGCCCAAGGCAGCCCAGCCCAGGGGGTGAAGCAAGAGGAGCTCGCCGGTGTCTTGACAGCTGCGTGTCCCTGCTTGTGGATTTTGCTCCATCCACTCGGGCTGGGCGCTGGGAAGAGGAGCCAGGAGCAGTGCTGGTGATGGAATGCTGGCTGCTGGATCCTTATCCATCCTCTTCAGCTCCCAAACAGCTCCTGCAGCTCTTCCTCACTGCTCCCAGGGCTGGCTTTCCCATAAAACGGGGGTCAAGCTGCTGTGATCCTGCTTTTCCCAAACACCCCGGCATTCCTGACCTGCAACAAAACAGTGATAAAGCTGATATCCCAACCCAGAATCCAAAATGCGCATCTTCCCACCTCCCCCACCCAGGCTGATCCCTTGTGATGCAAAGTGGCTGCTTTTTGGGATGAAGGGACATCTTTCCAATGAAAGGGAGGGATCAGGCTGCCCTGGAAGCTGGAGGCACCTGGAAGCAGCTGGAAGGGACCCACAAGGATCATCCAAGTCCAAACTCCTCCCACCCCGTGCCTGAGAGCATTGTCCACACATTCCTTGAGCTCTGGCAGCCTTGGGGCTGTGCTCATTCCCTGGGGAGCCTGTCCAGTGCTGGACCACCCTCATCCCATCTCCTCCCTGCCTCCCAGAGCAGTGCCTGAAACTTTGTGAGGAGCTGGAATGTCCTTCCAGCGTTATCCTTTGGTGCTGGAAATCTCTTGGCGCATCCTGCTGCAACCGACAAGCCCGTGCTGGATAAGGGGGTGAATTTAGTGGGAACAGGGGTGTTTCCCAGGCAGCAGCAGCAGGGTGAGGTGCAGGGAGCATCCCCCAGGTTTGCGGGAGGCCGTTCCCAGCACCGCAGCTGCAATTCCAACGTGGGGAACGCGGAGGACACGTCCCTCCTGCTCAGGGCACGTCATGCGTGACCCTAAAAACACTTTGTACCTGGTGCAGTCAGCGTGTGACAGATCCTCACTCCCTGCACCCCAGACTGGGGAGGTTTCAGAGCACCAGAGCCATTGTTTAATTATCATCCCTGAGGCGCTTGCTGGAGAGGTCCCTTTTCCTTCTGGAAGCCTCCTGGCTGCTCCTGAGCTCTCTCGGCTCCGGAGGGGAAGGTGGAAGGGCTCGTGCCCGCCGGCCTCCCCTGGCTCTGGGGTTTGCCCTTTCAGCCCGAGGTTAGAAATGGGGAACTGCAGCCGTGCCAGAGCCGCACTCGCCGGGCAGGTCGGGGCTGTCGGACGGGTCCCGGCGCGGTCCCGGCGCGTTCCCTGTCACGTTCCCCGGGGTGTGGCCTCCCCCCAGGACTGTTTCTTGGACAAGACACCAGGAAATCAGGCAATTCGCCACCCAGCCACTCCTTGTCCCAGCAAGGCTCGTGAGTCCCAGGCTTTTCCTGGGAGAGGGAGCATTCCTTGACTGCTGTCACGAGCCCCAAGCTCTGCTGGCTGCAAAGTGTTAAACACTTCACTTTGTCCCTCTGGAATTTTTTCCAGGTGTTTCTATAGCATGGGGGGAGCTTCATGCTGGGAATTAAAGTCACCGCTTTGTTTGGTTTTTCTCTCTTTTTTTTTCCCCTTTTTCCCCTCTCCCTCTCTTTCAGGGTTTCTTGGATCAGCAGGTGGGGAACCCCCAGGTGGTGATCCTGCGCCTGCTGCGTTACATCATCCGCCTCATCTGGAGGCTCCAGTGAGCGCCGGGCGCATCCCGAGCCACCAGGACTGAATTCCTTGCTGGGAAAGCCCGGGCAGGAGGGACACATGGATGGATGTGGGGCTCCCACCCTGCCTCTCCCCCAGGACACGTGGCAGGATGAGGGTGGACATCCCATTCCCACGGCGGCGTTTTATGGCAGAGTGCTGTTCACTCGCTGTTTCTCTCCGCTCTTTTTATTCGTTCTTTTTTTTTTGCCTCTTTTTTCCCCGAAAGAGTCTCAGCGGAAACGTGGAATAACGTTTTGTCATCGTTCCTGGAGTCCTGTGGGATGAGCCCCACGGCAGGAAAGAGGGAAACCTGAGCCAGCTGATGGGCAGAGCCGTCGGAGTTTGCCTTGCAGAGGCTCGGATTCCTCCCCTCTCCCTTTCCCTCTGGGCCGTTTGCCCCCCAAAAGGCTGGAAAAAGGGCAGAGGGGTTTAATCAGCACTTCTTTTACCTGTAAATACCTAATGCTACCCCAAATCCAACTTCATTTGCATCATGCAAATCAGCCTATTTCCTGCTGACTGATTTTTTTTTGGATATCTCTATTTTTTTGATCCACTCTGAATTTCAAGACTTTGCTGTTGAACTCCAGGGTCCAAACCGTCACAACCAACCAACCAAACCCCAAGCCACCAGGTTGCCTTTTTTAAAAAAGAAATTCTTTCTATATAAAACGTGTGAAAACGCTTCTGTCGTGTCTGCTAGCAGATGTGGGGGACTGAGTAATCCAGCAATAAACCATTCCGGAGGCAGGGAGCAGCTCCCGGAGCGCTGCAGCCGGAGGCGACGGCAGCAGGACCTGCTGTGAGTCGTGGCTGTCAAAAAGAGGTTTCCAAGATCGCGTTTTCCCGGGATCCTCTCCGCGTTCGGACGGGGATGAACGCCCGGCTGCAGATGGAAGGATGCCAGCCCGACGTGGATCCATCCAGGACGTCCCAAGGGGATCTGAGCGCTCTGTGTCCTCCCAGAGAACTTCCCAGCTGCTCCGTGTGGCGGGGCCGTTCCCGCGGAGCCGCGGATCCGCACGCGTTCCCGTTGTCTCCCAGCGGATGTTTTTGGGGGATCGGCTGCTCCGGCCGTCCCGTATCTATGCACAAACCTCCCCCCTCCCTCAGGCTGCTGCAGGTGCTCCCCAAAAGCCACGGGGTCCTTGCTGGTCTCACCAGCACCGTAGGAAAAGAAGGAAAACCCCATCCCAAGCCCCCCTCGGAGCGGTTCTTCCCACAGGGAGAAGCTGCTGAGTGCCATGGATGATGATTAGTGTTAATTAACAATGGACAGACCCCAGTGGGACCTCTCTGCACGGCTGTGCCCGGCGGGTCGGAGCTCTCTCCTCCCAGAGGGAGTTTTAACATCGATTGCCAATTTAATTCCCCTTTTTTCCTTGGAAGTGCAAGGTGAGCAGCGGTTGCAGGAGCAGGGAATGTTTTGGGAAGGGCATTTTGGAGCCCTTTGTGGGGAACCTTTGCACTGGTGGAGAGCGAGCGGTTCAAATAACCAGGGAGCTTGGCCAGGGCAGATCCTGCTCCTCATCCCTTGGGATTTGCCTCTGGCTTTGGCTCATCATGGCTGTGCTGCCCCAGCCAGCCCTACTGTATGCTGCCACCAGGGATTTCCCATGGAATTCCACCGGTAAAATGAAAATTGAATGGATAAAACTCGGCAGCAGAGGTGGTGGGAGGTGGGGAAACCCAATGAGATTTTTGTTTTTTCTGCCGCTTTTGTTCCATCGTTGGTGGTGGATAAAATGGTGCTTTGGGATCTCCCAACCTTTGGCATCCCGGAATGTGTCCCTTGGAGTACACCAAAGAATCACCAAAGAGCACTTTACCCCGTCCTCCCATGGAGACAAAGACCAGGTTCGTTTTAAGGAGAAAAAAAATAAAAATTCAAGGTATTGGCAAAGTCTCCCAGGGCCTTCTCCACAGGAGTTCCCAGCCAAGATTCATAGGAAAAGGAACCCTCGAAAAGCGGGATTCCTGTGGCATCGTGAGGTTTAGTGGGAAAAATGCCCCCCAAAAAAAAGCCTCAAAACAGAAGGATGATATAAAATAGGGATTTCTGCTCCTTTCAGCCATGTTGGCTGCCTGCTCTGGGTCGTGTTTTAGCGTAGCCTGTGCTCTGTGTTGCACCAAAAGGATGAAGAGCTTTCCTTGGAAACCAGATTGATCCCATTCTCGCTTCTCCTCTTTTCCACCAAACTGTAAATACCCAAATATTTATTAGAGTAGAGCACCATACTATTTTCATCATCTGAGCCAAATATCTGTGTGCAATGTACTCCCTCTCCTTTCTCTCCTGTAAGTTTTGTACAGCTTTAGAAACACTTTCAAAAAACCTAAAAAAAAAATTAAAAAAAAAATAAAAAATTCCTGTTCTTTTCCTACACTTTTTTAGAGTTGAATTGGTAAATACTGTAGGTCCTTTCTTTGTTTTTGTTGGTTTTTTTTCTCCCCCCTGTGTAATTAATGCACTCTACTGTTTAATGCTGTAACTTGTAGAAATGTTGTATATTTATTTCCTGCTTATTTAAGTTCCTGTGAAGATTTGGTTTCCTCCCTGCCAGAAGTGTTGGATCCCCTTCCAAAGCCATCGCGGTGTGGATAACAAGATTTTAATCTCTTTTTTTTTTCCTCTCCAAGTGCCTAAGTCCCCACTTCCCAGGAGTGATTTAGGCACATCAAAGACTTCAGCATTAGTGAAATTCAGTGGGAATTTGGAACTTGGCTCCTCCACCCCCCCAGGGATTGCTCCAGCCAGGTTTTCCTGGAGCAGCCGTCCCGTGGGATCGCGTGAATCACTAAATCGTGTCGCAGGACCCAGCGTATGTAGCATTTTTGACTGCAATTTCCCTGCCTTCCTTGTGTTTTGCACTGATGAATTTTGGACAGGGTAATTGCCACTTTACTTGTGCAATACTGCTGTAAATAATCGCAAGAGCCTTGTTTTTGGTTTTTTTTGGGGGGGTTGTTCTTTGGTTTTGTTTTTAAGAATCTTTTATGTCCTTAATATGAGTTTTATATGAATAAAAACTTTCAATTATTTGTCCCGAGTGCTGGTTCTTTTGTGGGGATTGAAGTTCTCCTGAAAAGAGGGTATTTGTTGCTTTATCACCAATTTTCCCCATTTTTTACCCATTCTCCTTCCAGACCTGGTGTTCCCATCTCCATTTTGGTGTTCCCCTCTCCATTTTGGTGTTTCCATCTCCATTTTGGTGTTCCCATCTCCAGTTTGGTGTTTTCCTCTCCATTTTGGTGTTTCCATCTCCATTTTGGTGCTGCCCTCTCCATTCTCTGAAGCTCCAAGATGCTTCAGGCCAAAATGCAGCTCTGGAATGAATTTGCTTTGTCAGGTGCTGCCCTGAGTGCTCCCAACCCCAAAAGCTGCTCCAGCTGGGAGTTAGTTGGGGATTCCTTGGAATTTTTTTGCTTTTCCTCACATTTATGTGGTCGTGGGCTCAAGCCCAGTTTAGGAGCCCCTTCCATGCACCTCTTGTCCCCAGCTGGTTTCCACTGGCATTGAAGAAGTTCTGGGGCTTATTTTATGTTTTATGTCTTGTTTTCTCTTTATTTTATTATTTAATGCATTTATTATCAGTATTTTGAGTTTCTTAAGGAACATCACTATTTTTCCCTTCTATTATTTCACGTGGCGGTTTTTATTTTATAGTTTTACATCTGTTCCTAAAAATTTCCATCCCACCTTCCTTCCACCTTGCTCCTCCATCCCGTTTGTCCCTCCAGCCTTTCCTATCCCTTCACTTATTCCTCAGCAGTCACCACCTGAAAGGGATTTAAAAACAACCCCCCCCAAGTCCTACTTGATAAACAACCTAAAAAAAATTCTGGATTTTTTTTCTTTTTTTTTTTTTTTTTTTTTTTTTTTTTTTTTTGTTCTTGAGTGTGTTTCAAATTACAGAAGTTCCTGAAAGGGAAGTTTATTGGTTTCAGGTGCTATTTTGGGGGCTTCTTTAACTCACACACACAAAAAAAAAAGGTCTAATTGCCGGGCTGAGGCTGTGGCAGCTGCTGGTTCTGCTCTGCTGGTGGCTCTGTTGGAATTTGGGAGCTGCTGGATGTGTCCAGGTGAGCTGTCACACCTGGGACACCACCCTGCTGTGGCCTGGGAGGAGCTGCTGGCCAGCCCAGCGTCCTTGGTGACACAACGGGAAGGGAATGTCGGGATCTGCCCTCAGCACGTGCCAGGACCAGCCTGGCCGTGGCCAACTCCAAGGGGGCACCTTGAAGGTGTTCCCGGCCCAGCTTGGCCACAGCCAGGCCCAGCTTGGCCACGGCCCACACCGGCCTTGCCCAAATCCAAGGTGGTCACGGTTCAGGCCGGCCAGGGCCAAGGTGGCCGTGGCCAGCACAAAGTGGTCACGGGTCCACCAAGCTCAGGTTGGCCTCAGCCCACGCTGGCCGTGGGCCTGGGCCCACCAAAGCCACACCAGTGGCTCCTCCCCACGAGCCAGGCCCTCTCCATGCTCTAAAATTCCAGGAGCTCCCAAAAACCCCCAGGCAATTCTGTTCCAAGGATGACAAATTGCCTTTGTTCCCTAAAAAGGAGCAAACTCCCAGATTTTATTCCTGGGAAAAGCCACAGCTCCCCATATCCATCAGAGCTGGACACCCGTGGCTGCCACCTGCTCGTGCTGTTGGGGACATGCAAAACTGGAACGTTCCTGCACTTCCACGGCCCCCTGGCCTTGGGAATGCCGAGCAACCCAAGCTGAGGATGAGATTCCAGCCATCCAGAGGCACGGGAGCGACACCGGGCTCTCCCCACACACGGAAAGAAATATATTTATTTTTTTTCCAATGACTCGCCGCTGACCTTTCAAACACCTGTGCAGCCTAAACCAGCTAAAAATACCCCCCGAGCTTTGCATCTGATTTTCATATTGCAACAAAGCTCACTCTTTCCAGCGGCTTTTTCTGCCTTTCTGGCAGCTCCTTGGATGCTCCACCTCTCCTGGGGTCACACCAGGCGGAGATGGGAAGTGTTGGACACCGGGGAGGTCCCTAAGAGCAACAAAAGGATGTTAAAGGTGCTCTAGCGGGGCTTTTATAGGGTGCAAAACAAGCTCAGGGATGGCTGGACCAAGGGGACCTTCCTGCTGCCCTTCCTGAGCATCCCAAACCTCTTTTCTGTGGAATTTTGGAAGAAATGAAGCCCTGCAACCCAAGGAAAGGCAGACAACGAGGTTCCCCCTGACGGAGACACCGCTGTTCCAACAAAAGCCGCTCCCGTGGAGCTCAGGGAGCCTCACACGGCCCTTGTGGGGATACAGGGCCCGCTCTTCCCGGATTTGATGGATTTCTCCTCGCTGGGTTTGTGACAGGCTCCTCCATCCCTTTTCCCGGGAGGACACGCGGGGAGCTGGCGCTTCCCGGCCTCGCGGGCCGCTAATTAACCCACGCCTCATCTCGCCGCAATTACGGGTACAGCGGGCCGAGCCAACAGCTTTTTGACAATCCCACAGTTCTCCTGGCCGGTAATTAATGAAAATAAAGTTGGAAGGTGGCACGGTGGCCGTTCCCTGAGGATGGAAAGGACGGTGAGCGCTGCAGCTCTGCCTCTCCGCATCCTCACACCACGTGCGTGACCCCGAGCTAAAAAAGTCAGGATTCTCAGAAATCCTGGTGACTTTCACACAAATAATCCCCCTGAGATTTGAGGGAAGAGCCACGGGACCCCCCTGAGCCCACATTCCGACAGCCATCCCTCCCGGAGGCACCGGAGTCCCCCCCGTCAGCCGGGGGCAGAGGGGACAGTCACGAGCGCTCGCCATCACCATTCAAATGACTTTTTGGCAGAAATGGGTTTAAAAATAGGGGTTTTATGATAAACAGAGTAACCTCATACAGGAAGTGAGCTGCAAATACTAAAACACATTGTACAAAGCTGGTAGAGAACAGAGCTGCCCTACAGAACCGAAAAAACAACAACAAAACCCAAGCCCTTCAAGGGGAGAGCCCAACATTTTCTTGGGGGTTCTTTATATTTTTATTTTTTGTTTGGAGGTGAAAGGGGTGAACAGAGGGGAGAAAGGGCTGAGGGGTGAGAGAATTTCTCCTCTCCACATGACCCTAAAATAAAGGTGATGCCGACGCAGCTCGGGGATGTGAACCCCGAGTCTGAGCGTGCCGGGACTTCAAAAAGCGTCGGGTGCTGCTTCTGCAAAGGTTAAGAAGTTTTCCTCCCGAAACCCCGAGTGTGGGCTGTGAAAGAACATGGTAATGAAGAAAAATTTCCCCAGGGCTGCTCTTTGATTATCACCAAAGCCATCGAGTTTCAGTTTGAGTGATTTGTATTTATTTATAAAAACAAAGATGAAATAAGTAGAACGAAAACAAAAACCTCATCCTAATTTCTGAGCTGGAGCCTGATTTATTCGAGCTGAGACGTTCAGGTGGAGCGGGCTGGGTTGAGAAAATGAGCTGAATTACCCACGTGCTGCAGGGAGCGTTTTGTAGGGTTAAAAAAGCACCATAAACCCCCCCAAAAGCACACCCAGCCACCCTCATCGGTGCCAAAATGCTGATTTACGAGTCCCTGGGCTGGGCAGCAGCTCCAGCCACGGGGTTCAGCCCTGGTTTGGTGCGGGAGCATCTTAATTCGAGTGGGAGAACAAAAGACATTTCTCTTTTCATGTGTTTTCACTTCCATCATGAGAGAACCGGTTAAAAAAAACACACAAAAAAAGCCCTTCAGTGGTCTCTCAGCCTCCACCGTGTTGTTTTTCTACCTATTTTCTGTTGTTGGCTTTTGTTATCAGTCTCATCTGCAATTTGTGGCCGATTCTGTCATGTTTCAGGCAGACAGCGTGTTCCCAAAACTGCTTGCAACCTTTCACGAGGGTACAGCGGCGAGGGCAGGCACAGCAGAACCACAGCACAACGAGAAAAAGGGCAGAGTTAACCCCAAAATCAGCCCTTGCCCAAATCCGTGTCCCCAAGGCAGGGACGAGCCCCAGGGCAGCGCTGGGTACCACCAAACCAGCCCCTGCCCACCCCCTGGAGCAGCCTGGCTTGGACAGGAATTAATTCCATCTCTCCCTCGCAGGAGAAGCCAAGCTCAGCCCTGCTTCACCCAGCGGATTTTTCCCCTCCCCAAACAGCTTTTCCCAGCTTTTTCCCAGCCCTGGGCACGTCCCCATCCCAAATTCCCCGGGTGAGCCGCGGTGCTGGCGGCGGAGCGTGGATGAAATCAGCGGGGCTGTGAATTACAGCCCAAAGCCGACGCCGCCGACCTCGCAGCCCTCCAGCATTAATAGCGAAACCAAAAAGCAAATTACCACGGCGGGAGCAGCGGGAATTTGGCAATTTGGTTGAAATTCAAGCGGTGTCACCTCGGCGCACGCCGCGCTGGCCGCGCTGGGCGATTCCTGCCGGCAGCGGCGGCTCTGGGGGAGCACAGGGGTTAAAGGCAGGGGGATTTTGGGGGGTTTGGGCTGGGAGGGAGGGCTGGGAGCTGTCACCCAGCCGGGCTGAGCTCGGTGATGCCCGAGCAGCGCAGCCTCTCCCGGGGTGCCGGCGAGGGAAGCGCCGCGCGCGGCCCCTTGGGCACGGAGAAAAAAAACAATTTTGGGGTTTTTCAGGGCAGGAGGCGGCTCGGCGGGGGCTGCCCGGCCGGGGGAGGACTGAGCCATTGTGAAACCCGGCTCCTTTTCCTGAGGCTGCCGCTGGCGGCGGCGCCCGAGCCCAAAAGCGCCCGAAAAGCGGCTCCAAACGGTTTCCCGGAGCAGGGGCACCCCAGAGCCGCCCGGGCCCCCGCCCTTGGGAACCACAATTTCGGGCTCCCTGGAGCAGCGAAGAGCAGCCAGAGGCTCCCTCGGGAAGGGCTGCCTTCCCCCACAAAAGCCCTGCAGCCCCAAACCTCCTCCCTCGGGAAAACTGGGAAAAGGGAGCCCCGCTGCCCGGCTCCCCCCGCGCCCACCGGCCGCGGTTTCCAGCGGGTGCCAATCCCACGCCATCGGTTTGGCCAGGAAAACCCTAAAATGCACAATTTCGAGTCAGTGTCGCAGGGCTCTCCCAAAGCTCTCTCCACTTCCTGTGACAAAACAAAACACGCTTCGCTTGAAACTTATTCTTCCTCTATTTAGTGCCGAGAAGCGATGACCAAAAGCAGCCTCCAAAGGCTCCTGGGACGCTGCTCCCCGTCCCGCGCCGCGCAGAGGGAGCAGCAGGGCTGGAACAGCCTCGCCAAGGCACGAAATGCTGAATTTCCAAAGGATTTCATTTCAAATCTCGAGCTGGGCTCAATTTCCACTCGGCTGTTTTCGTCTCGCTGCTGCTGCTCGAGGCAAACTCTTCCTTGCACCCAACTTCTCCACATTATCCAGCTCAAACCTGAGCCAAAGGTGGCAAAAGGAGGGGACAGGGGATAAATTTGGGGATTGGCTCATCCCTGTTCCAGGGTCAGACTGGGAATATTGGCTGAGGGGTGCAGAGAAGGGAAATCGAGACAAATCCGTTTTGATTTGGCTCGTGTCAGAGAGAGGAGAACACCGAGAGTCCCCCAGATCCTCGGGCTTTTCCCTCTCCATTCACCACGGGGCAAGAAATCGGCATTTGGGGAAGTTCTGCACCAGGAATTGGACTTTGATAATCCTCGCGTGGATATTCCATCAGTCAAATCCCCAGCTGCCCCCTGCCAGCAGCGCTCCCTGGATGGAAAAACAGGGGGGAAAAGGGAATTTGGGGCTGCTCTGATTTTGCTCCACCGTGATTTCCCAGCAGATGCATGAGGAGGATCCCTCTGACCTGAGAGGGAATGGGTTTTATCCCGGGAAAACGCTCACAGCGTTTAAAAATCCCAGCAGGAAAACCATGCAGGGCTTCCCCTCGGGGGTCGGGAATTGGCCTCTGAGAATTAAGGTGAAAAATTCAATATTAAGAAATCCAGCTGGAAAATCAGACAGGAAAATCCCAGAGATTGGGACGAATCTGGCAAATTCAATCCCAAGAAACGAACCTGCCGTGATTCTCTCATTAAATCTGGGCGTGCTTCCATTTATTCCCAGTGCTTGCATTTATTCCCAGTGCTTTCATTTATTCCCAGTCCTTTCCCATTGTAAAAATAATCCTTTATTCACCCCTTTTTAAAATAAAAAATAATTTAATTAAATTCCTTAATTTCTACCCCTAAGGACATCATTGCTATTATATTAATTATATATATATATAATATATTATATAAAATACATTATATATAATATTATATTATTATCTAATATCTAATATATAATATATATTATATAATATATATTATATAATATATAATATAGAATATATTATTATATAATATATAATATATTGTATATTATATTATTATATATTACATATTATATACTATTATATAATATATAATATATAATACAATATATTATATATTATATATTATATGGATTTATGAATTATATATTAATATATTAATTCTATTATTTTCATTATATTTATCACATTATATTTCATCGCATTCTGTTATCAAATTTAATTTAATAAATATAAATTCCTAATAATAAATAATAAAAATAATAATAATAAATATATATTCCTATTATTCAGCTCCATTTAATAAACAAGTATTTTGATGTAGGAATCACTGCATTATTCGACAAACACACAAACAAGTTTACACGTGGGAACACGTTTAATACTTTTATTTAAATAGAAAGAAACGTCTTTGATTGTAATATATAAATATATTTACATAAATTAAATTTTTACATGAATATACAAATATAGCATTTATTTAAACATAAAAAAGCAGGGGAATGGTGGGAGCTGCTGTCTTTTAAATAATTGCCCTGATAGATTTTAATTAATTGCCCTTCTGGATTTTAATTAATTACCCTGCTGGATTTTAATTTCCTTTCCTGACTTAAATTCCCCTCCCTGATTTTAATGCCGTGGAAAAACGTGGAAGAGCTCAGAGAGCCTGGGAAGGGGCACCTTCCTGCCAGGATTTGGTCCCAGATATTCCAAAAGAAAATAAATCCCAAAGCTCTGGAAAGCCCCGAATCCCCTGGGAATCCCAAGGCTGCTGGAATGGGCTCCAGAGGGGCCTGGGCCGGGCTGGAAAATCCCAGCACGGAATTCCCGGGAATTCCAGGCAGGAGAAAAGAGCAGCTGCCCACAGGCCCTGGGCACTGCCAGAGGAGCAGCTGGGAAATGCTGCGGGTCTGCAGGGCAGCACCAGGAGCACCAGTACCTCCAGTAACAGCACCAGTACCTCCAGTAACAGCACCAGTACCACCAGTAACAGCACCAGGAGCACCAGTACCACCAGGACCAGCACCAGTACCACCAGTACCTCCAGTAACAGCACCAGTACCTCCAGTAATAGCACCAGTACCTCCAGTAACAGCACCAGTACCTCCAGTAACACCACCAGTACCTCCAGTAACAGCACCAGTACCACCAGTACCTCCAGTAACAGCACCAGTACCTCCAGTAACAGCACCAGTACCACCAGTAACAGCACCAGTACCACCAGTACTACCAGTAACAGCACCAGTACCTCCAGTAACAGCACCAGTACCACCAGTACCTCCAGTAACAGCACCAGTACCACCAGTACCACCAGTACCACCAGTAACAGCACCAGTACCACCAGTAACAGCACCAGTACCACCAGTACCACCAGTAACAGCACCAGTACCACCAGTAACAGCACCAGGAGCACCAGTACCTCCAGTAACAGCACCAGTACCACCAGTAACAGCACCAGTACCACCAGTAACAGCACCAGTACCACCAGTACCTCCAGTAACAGCACCAGTACCACCAGTACCTCCAGTAACAGCACCAGTACCTCCAGTAACAGCACCAGTACCACCAGTAACAGCACCAGGAGCACCAGTAACAGCACCAGGAGCACCAGTACCACCAGTAACAGCACCAGTACCACCAGTAACAGCACCAGTACCTCCAGTAACAGCACCAGTACCACCAGTACCTCCAGTAACAGCACCAGTACCACCAGTACCACCAGTACCACCAGTAACAGCACCAGTACCACCAGTAACAGCACCAGTACCACCAGTACCACCAGTAACAGCACCAGTACCACCAGTAACAGCACCAGGAGCACCAGTACCTCCAGTAACAGCACCAGTACCACCAGTAACAGCACCAGTACCACCAGTACTACCAGTAACAGCACCAGTACCACCAGTACCAGCACCAGTACCACCAGTACCTCCAGTAACAGCACCAGTACCACCAGTACCAGCACCAGTACCACCAGTACCACCAGTAACAGCACCAGTACCACCAGTACCACCAGTAACAGCACCAGTACCACCAGTACCACCAGTAACAGCATCAGTACCACCAGTACCACCAGTACTACCAGTACCACCACCAGTACCACCAGTAGCAGCACCAGTACCACCAGTATCACCAGTACCACCAGTACTACCAGTACCACAAATACCAGCACCACCAGCATCACCAGCACCACCAGTACCACCAGTATCACCAGTACTACCAGCCCCAGCAGCCCCAGCAGCCCCCCGCTCGCTGCTGACTCATTTTTGGCCGGAGCCTCCCGGCGCGGCTCCGTGGGGTTTTCCCCTTCTCCCGTGTCACGGAATCACCCGGCCGTGACGTGGGGCTGCAGTTCCAGGAACTCCCCACAGCCCAGTTTCCAGCCAGGAGCCAAACTGGTGCTGCTGGGAGAGCTGGTGGCAGCCCCACCTCGCTCCGGCACCGGGACACGGAGCAGCGTTCCCATGGATCAGATCAGCATTCCCAAGGATCAGTGTTCCCAAGGATCAGCGTTCCCAAGGATCAGCATTCCCATGGATCAGCATTCCCATGGATCAGCGTTCCCATGGATCAGCGTTCCCATGGATCAGCATTCCCACAGATCAGCATTCCCATGGATCAGCGTTCCCATGGATCAGCATTCCCAAGGATCAGTGTTCCCAAGGATCAGCGTTCCCAAGGATCAGCATTCCCATGGATCAGCATTCCCATGGATCAGCGTTCCCATGGATCAGCGTTCCCATGGATCAGCATTCCCACAGATCAGCATTCCCATGGATCAGCGTTCCCATGGATCAGCATTCCCATGGATCAGCATTCCCAAGGATCAGTGTTCCCGAGGATCAGCGTTCCCTCAGCTCGACAGAACATCCAGCTCTGGGTATGTTTCCATGGGAATGGGTGAATCCCAAAGTGATGACTGCATTTGTTTCCCACCATTAAATGTTTCCCACTGAAATAACTGGGAATGGGACAAGATGCCCCTTCCCAGTCCTAATCCCAGTGCTCTTCTTGATTCCCTGGGGAAAAACAGGGAATAAAGGATTTTTTGATTTTGTGCTGCTTGAAAAACCTCTGCTGCTCCCTCTGTTCCAGAGACAGGGAATCCCCTGAGGAGGAAGCAGCACTGGGAATGCTGGAAGCAGGAGAAGAGCGGGATTTCTGCCCCTTTGCTCCCAGGTTTGTGCCGGTGGGGTTTGATCCATGCGGGAATCAATGGGAATTCCCAGGGTGGGAATGATCCATGGCTTTGTGCCCCTCGGATCCCAGGCAGGATGCTCCACCACAGGGATTCATCCCTGCGCTTCCCACACTTCTCCTACGGTTATTGAGGGGCATGGGGTGGGATCAGCTTTCCTGGGAAACCCCAGCCCCATCCAGCAGCTTCTGCTGGAATGCCATGAACGCTTTGATATCGAGGATTAATGGGAATAACGGGGAATGTTGGGATGACAGCGGAAACCTTGGCTCCAGCATCCTTCCCTGGGCTGCAGGAATTGTCCCGGCAGATAAAAAGCCATCAGCCAGGGAAAACTGTAGGAATTCCATTAATTTCAGCCTCACTTTCCCTCTGCTCAGAGCCCCCCGGTTCCCAGGCACAGGCACATCCCTCCACGGATCCCAGACCAAATCCATCCCAATCCTACCTGAGCTCTCCTCGCCGCAGCTCCCAGCCCGGGCTGTGCCGGGGGTTTATATCCCTCCCACCAGGATGTGGGGAAGGAGATTTTCCCAGGGCCTCTCCCGCCTCCCCCGCCGGGAAAGGATCAGGGAGTTTTTTCTCAGCAGAAGGAGCTTTTGCTGGGAAAGGTTTCGTTTCCCAGGGCCTGGGAAATCCGTGGGGACCCTTGGCCGAGGAGGGGTTGGGAAAGGGATGAGATATCCCAGAGGCTCTTTCATCCAGGGAATGCTCCCAGGCACCTGGATACTCTTGCAGCCTGGAAAGCCCCATTTCCCCCCATTCCCACCTGAAAGAAGCCGTGACCTCCCAGCAAATCCCCTGGGAAAGGATGGAAACCATGCCCATATTCCCTAGAAATGCTCACCCCACTCCGAGCCCTTTCCCTCACTGCTAAGGAACCTTTTCCCTCTCCCCTGCAGCACGGGGGTGGCTGTCACCATGCCCGTGTCCCCACTTTTCCCACCCCGGTTCTGTTCCGTGGGCTCCGGAAAACCTTGGGGAATTTCGGGAAAACAACACGCCCCAAGGGCTGTGCTCCCGGATCCAGCCGGAGTTTGGAGATGATTCAGGGACACGGAGGGAAGGGGGAGCCCCGGGAACCTTTAATCAGCCTTTTTAAATCCACGCTCCTCAAACTTCCAGCCCAGCATTCCAGCCTCAATCCCTGTCTCCAGGACCTGCTGCTGGCTTTAACCCTTCCAGCACCACAAGGAAAAGCCGGCAGTGCCTGCCATGGGATGAGCGGTGCCCTGGCTCAGCTGAGGGAGGAAAACCACCCAAAACCATCCCCTTTTTGCCCTCATCTGCAGCTTTCACCCATTCCACATCCAGCTCCCTTGGCTGAGACTCCAGGGATCACAAACCTCCAAATTCCTGTGGAATTCCGGAGGTATTGGAGCACCACACTGGCTACAGCGGCACCAAATGTTTGGTTATTCCCCCCCAAAAAAAACAGGAGATGGATGCTGCTTTGTCCAGTGCTTCCCACGGACATCCCTGGAGCTCCTCCCAGCAGAGCACAGCCCGGTGGGAATTGCCCTTCCTGGAATAAATCACACCACGAGCATCCTCTGGGAAGGAGAAACATGAGGATTTGGGAGTATTTTCCACCGTGCTGGGAAAACACTCAGCCTGCTCCCTCTTCCCACCTTTTTTTTTCCCCTCCAATATTGCGACAAAACAGGAAAACGTGCTGGGGGTCATTTGAATCTCCCTGGAAAACGCCAGGTTGCTGGCCCAGCTTCCAAATCCAGCTCTCCAGAAACCCCGGGAGTGGCTGCGAGCTTTAGGGAACGCCAGAATCACCGCCAAAAATCCCCTTTTCCTTCTAAACAGAAAGGGGTGGAAACCTCTCCTGCCGGATATTCCCGGCGGGATGGAGCTGCTGAGGGATGCAGATCCCAAAGGATGGTGTCACCCCCTGGCTGCATCACCTGTGGGGTTCAGCCACATCCACCTGGGCCATGGGACACCCCGAGGGTGCTGGAATCCCTCGGGATGATGCCGGGATCCCTCGGGATGAGGCTGGGATCCCTCGGGATGCGGCTTTTTGCCGGGCATGCCGGCACCTGCCATCCTTCAGAGCGAACAAACAAGTTGCTAAGTCACAGCAAAACCATGAAAGCAAAACCACAGAGCCCCAAAGCGCCTCTGAGTCACTCCCCGGCCGCCACCACGGCCCCACAGCCCTCCCAAAATTCGCTGCCACCTGCAGCCGCCCATCCGCGCTCCAAAGGCGCCGGGAAGCGTTTTCCAGCCGGGAAAGCCTCTCTGGGTGGGCGCAGGCACGGATGGAGGAGCTGTGGTGATGCCCAAACCGAGCTGGCAGCTCCGCTCAGCCCTTCTTTCCCGTCACCTCTCCCGGATTTTGGCTGGATGGATTTTGGGTTCCAAGCCCTTCTTTCCCGTCCCCTCTCCCGGATTTTGGCTGGCTGGATTTTGAGTTCCATGCCAAGCAGGGGATGGATGCCCGGGCAGGCAGCGCTCCCGGGATTAGATCCTGCCGTGCGTCACGGAGCTCTGGCCGCCCAGGGAAGCCGGGATGTTCCCGGTGTTCCTGGGGACACCTTTGGGGCAGCGCTGCCCCTTCCCGAGCCCGGGGCTCTGCCGTGGGATCCCCCAGAGGCTGGGACGGCGGGATCGCTCCCAAATAATCGCGTCCCGTTTGTGCCGGAGGTGGGACCCACGATGGAGCCGTGGGAAGCAGCCGGGAGCCCCGGGGGCGATGCCGACAGAGGTCACTGTTGCCGAAAAGTTGCGAGCCCCGGCCAAAAAAAGCCCCAAAGGAACTCGGTGGGGAAGGCGGCGATGGGAGAGGCACGGCGTCCCGGCCGTGGGACATTCCCGGGAATGACGCACCGGGAATCGCAGCCGGCACCCCGAGCCTTGGGACGGGATGAGCCGGAGAAGCCGCGGGACGCGCAGCCGGGGCCGGAGAAGGATGGTGAGGATAATTCCCACCGGGAGAGGGAATAGAGGGAATGTGCTGCCGCGGGATGATCCCGAGGGTGAAAGCTGAGCCAGGACAGGAAGAGGAGGGAGCCCGTGGGACACAGCATTCCGCAGGGAACAGCAGCCTGGGATGGATGGATGGATGGATGGATGGATGGATGGATGGATGGAGGCAGAGGCAGGAGGGGAATCGCCGCTGCCTTTCCCAGCCCAAATCCCAAAGGACAGCACAGAACGAGCGGGAGAGGGCGGTACAAAATACCCCAAAAAAGGTGACTAAGCACTGTGGGGACGCCAGCGGAGCCCGGCCTCTGTTCCCAGCTGTGCCATTACCGTGGAATCAGGGAATGACTGCGCTGGGAATGTCCCATAGAGCCCATCCCGTCCCACCCCTTGCCATGGGCAGGGCCGCCTTCCCCTCGCACAGGTTGCTCCAAGCCCCGTCCAACCTTCCAGGCACTTCCAGGGGTGAGGAATGGAGTGCAGGGCCAGGGAGAACCTCCCCATCCACCCTGCATGCCCCACCTCCCCCGGAGCATCCCCAAACTCCCGGCAGCCCCGCGCCGCCTCCAGGGCTCCTCCGGCAGATCCCGAGCACCGCTCCAAACCCCAAATGTTCCCGCTGGGTTTTCTCCTCCCTCCCTTCCCCCGCGATTGGGAAGGGAGCAGCGCCTTACCGGGTGTTCCCGGTGTTCCCGGTGTTCCCGGTGCTCCCGGTGTTCCCGGGAAGCGCAGCCCGGGCTCCCGTAACGGGCGCGGGCGGCCCGGGCGCGCTGTGCCCCGATCATTGGTCCAGCTCACGGCAGCCGCTGCTTTCAAATTCTGCTCGGGAGGAAACAGGAAGCCCCAGAGCTCCTCGGCAGAGCCTCCCCCCGGCCGCCAGCTCGCCTCCCTCCCTCGCCAAACGCCGGGAATGGCGCTTTTCCAGCATCCGGCGGAAACCGGGAGCATCCCCGCGCCGAGCTCCTGGCAGGACCGAGCCGCTGGAGATGCTTGGTTTCATCGTCATTGCTCGTTTTATTGGTGGTGGGATGAATCCGCACCTTCCAGCTTCTCCCTCGGAATGTGGGATTCCAGCAGCGCCCTGGGAACGCGGGATAAACCCCACGGATCCATCGGGGCGGCAGGAGGATGCAGGACGCCTCCAGCTTTCTTAGCTTTCCACCCCAAATCCAGCAGTTGGATTTTCGGCTCTTTGTCCAGCTGAGATAGATGCGGGAGGCTCGTTCTGGGGCTGGGGTAGAGGCTTGAGGAGGCAAGAAAAGTATTTGTCCTTGGAAAAGTCGTGGGGAATCGCATTCCCCACCCCTGGAAGCGTCCGAGGCCGGCGTTGGACGGCGCTTTAAGGGAGGTTTCCCTGCCCCTGGTCTTTAAGGTCCTTTCCAACCCAAACCATTCCGGGATTCCATGAAAGCCCGGTGTCATTCCCTGAGGGAAATCAGCCCGTCATGCTTCCCATTTCCCCAGTTTAGAAGGAAATTCCCCGAGCTGCAGCCGCTTCCCAGGGGAAGGAATTTCCAGGATCACCCCTCGTGGCTCCTCTGGTTTCCCATCTGTTCAGTGAATCCACGTAAAGAAGGTGATTGTGGAGTAGGTGTGATAAATTAAATTAATTCAGCTTTTTATTCAATTAGAGCAGCTTCTGAACAGCTTGGGGAAAAAAAAGGGATGAGGGTTGGGATTTGTCAGGACACCTCAAGCAACTGGAAAACCTCAGTGAATACACAATAAAGTTGTTCCTTTTAATAATAACTGGCTTTGTGTAATTTTTCTTGTTTCGCTGCCTTCCTCCTTCCGTTTGTCCCTCTGCAAAATCCCTGGGCTCCTCTCCTTGAGGATTCCCCTCCTTGGGAACAAACAGGGATAAAAACCACAGAAAAAGGTCAGATTTGGAAGCAGAATAAGCAGAATCCAAGCCTTTGCCTCTGGCCGCTTTTCATGGAGTGATTCCAAGGGTTTGGTGACAAATTAAGGATCTGCT